TGATGGCAATTTTTAGGGACCTGCCTGTCAAGAAGACTGAAAGACACTTTGCTAATATTACAAACCTCTGCATTGTGATAGTGTTTGAAATTCTGCTAACAGTCTGCTTTTTTTAGCCATACAGTAATTGCATCTCTCAATGGGAATGCTGCTCAGGAATAATGATCCTAGGAAGACATGGGAATATAGATTGTAGTAAAGGTTATGATGGTTTCTGTGAGAGGATTAACATTGATCCTTTTAGCTATCTGACTTTCCAAGAGGAAAAAACAAAACAAAACAAAAACAACCTTGAGTTAAGCAGGCAATTCAGTGTGAAAATTCTTGTGGTTAGTTTTAGAAGATGGAACTTGAAGTGAATTTGCTAAACTGTGTTTTTTTCTCTCTCTCTTTTTTGATGAACGTTTTTAAAAAGAAATGGATTTTTCTTTGCCACACATTTCAAATGCTCTTCTCAGTTTTGGTTTTCTGGTGTTTTTTTTTTATTCCTAATGCAAGTCAAAATTGTTAGTGAACTCAAAAGTAAAAATCTTTTCTGTTGAAAAGGCCATGTTGTGAAATGTAACATAAACATCCTGTTAGAGCAGTGTCTGCTAATTAAGGGAGAGAGCTCCTGGGAATCAGCAAGCCTATTAACAGAGCTCAGCTCCCTTTGATCCTCTCTTGAGTTTGTAAAAATTTTGCCCACCTAAACTTGTCTGCAGCTTGTTACACATTTTATCCATCTGCTTCAAGACCAAAAATAAGTGATTTATAATTCAGTTGAACTCCAGTTGTTCAGCATCTCTGTGGAGTCTTCAGTAACAGGGAGAGGATGGGAGGAAAAGCCAAGCAAAGGCTGAATAGAGTCAGATGCCCTAGAAGTTGCATTCTTTCTGCCTGTAGGGATGATGTATCACAGAATGAAAAGAGCTGGAAGGGACCTCTGAAGATCATCTAGTCCAACCCCCCACCCAGAGCAGATCACACAGGAACTCATCCAGGCAGGTTTTGAATGTCTCCAGGGATGGATTACAAGTTGTAGGGGTGTGTTCAGGTGTTACTGCAAAGTGATTCGTATTTTTGGGGGTGAAAGATACTTAATTGTCTATAAACTGAAATCCAACCATTTGTTGGAATTTTCTGGCTTTACTCTGCATTGTGATAGTGTTTGAAATTCTGCTAACAGTCTGCTTTTTTTAGCCATACAGTAATTGCATCTCTCAATGGGAATGCTGCTCAGGAATAATGATCCTAGGAAGACATGGGAATATAGATTGTAGTAAAGGTTATGATGGTTTCTGTGAGAGGATTAACATTGATCCTTTTAGCTATCTGACTTTCCAAGAGGAAAAAACAAAACAAAACAAAAACAACCTTGAGTTAAGCAGGCAATTCAGTGTGAAAATTCTTGTGGTTAGTTTTAGAAGATGGAACTTGAAGTGAATTTGCTAAACTGTGTTTTTTTCTCTCTCTCTTTTTTGATGAACGTTTTTAAAAAGAAATGGATTTTTCTTTGCCACACATTTCAAATGCTCTTCTCAGTTTTGGTTTTCTGGTGTTTTTTTTTTATTCCTAATGCAAGTCAAAATTGTTAGTGAACTCAAAAGTAAAAATCTTTTCTGTTGAAAAGGCCATGTTGTGAAATGTAACATAAACATCCTGTTAGAGCAGTGTCTGCTAATTAAGGGAGAGAGCTCCTGGGAATCAGCAAGCCTATTAACAGAGCTCAGCTCCCTTTGATCCTCTCTTGAGTTTGTAAAAATTTTGCCCACCTAAACTTGTCTGCAGCTTGTTACACATTTTATCCATCTGCTTCAAGACCAAAAATAAGTGATTTATAATTCAGTTGAACTCCAGTTGTTCAGCATCTCTGTGGAGTCTTCAGTAACAGGGAGAGGATGGGAGGAAAAGCCAAGCAAAGGCTGAATAGAGTCAGATGCCCTGGAAGTTGCATTCTTTCTGCCTGTAGGGATGATGTATCACAGAATGAAAAGAGCTGGAAGGGACCTCTGAAGATCATCTAGTCCAACCCCCCACCCAGAGCAGATCACACAGGAACTCATCCAGGCAGGTTTTGAATGTCTCCAGGGATGGATTACAAGTTGTAGGGGTGTGTTCAGGTGTTACTGCAAAGTGATTCGTATTTTTGGGGGTGAAAGATACTTAATTGTCTATAAACTGAAATCCAACCATTTGTTGGAATTTTCTGGCTTTAATCTAGATCAATTTCTAGGTCTTGGGTAGAATTGTGTTATTGTGTTTGTGTGTATGTGTGTGTGAGTGGTTCATGTTTCTCCTCCCCCTCAGGCTACTTATGGCAAGATGATTGATCGGGGCAACTACTTGGTATGTGAAAGATGCATATTCAAGTCCTATCTGCCTCTTTAGGTGACTGTGTGACCACATCCAGGCCCTGCAGGTGTCTATAGATCAACTGCTTTAATTCCATTGCCAAAGTAAAAATTTGCCTTGAAAAACTCCCTCTGCCTTCATGGTTGTGATACCAACTTCCCTAATGCAGCATCTCTTGTGCAGGACCACAATGTTTGCCCAAGCTGTGGTGCAGTCAGCCACAGCATCTGGGAGAAGTGGGATGGCTCTGTTGGATAAGTTGGGTGTTTGCTCTGAAATCTAATAAAAAGAAGAGCTAATTATTCCCTGTGCAAATATCACAGTCTATGTTCTGTTGATTTTTAGAACAGATCAGTGCTTCATTTTAGCACCCATATGTTTTATCTCCTCTGGTTAGCTATCATTCCTGGATGCCTACATCACTCCAAGGGCTATTGCTGTCATTTATTTTGCTGCTGAGATGGAGGCAGAGTGTTAAGAAGTTCTTCTTTCATCAGAAATCCAAGATTCATTTGCTGTTGCCTGTGAATAAATGATTGGTTAAAAACATATCTGGTACTTACCCACCTAAATTTATCTCCTTCCATGCCTCGGAGAATCTCATTTTTACAAACACTGTCTTCTCCCAGTGACTTCTCTGGGGCTGTGACTTTCCAGCAGCAAATTTGCCTTACGCTGAAAAGGTGGTGTTAGGAGTCTGTGATCACTTTAGGTCCATGAGAAAAAAAGTTGCACGTTGCACAAATCAGAGAGGCTTCTCCAGGGGCAGAGTTGGGAAGAGGAGAATCAATGAAGGGAAGAGCTGCCCAGGGAGGTTACACCATGACATTGTTTGTTCTTTGCCAAAGACTTCATGCATGGCAGGGAGTGTTACCTGGGTCCCAGCATCTGAGTCAGATGTCAGTGGTTGAGAGGTGGATATGGGATCTGTATGTGCCCTGAGCCTGGAGAGTTTGCAACAGCTATCAGCTTTTAAAATGACTTTAGTCATCTACAGTCATTTACTGCCCTTGTTAGGACTGTAATTCTTAGTCCATACTGAAGCTGATAACGATCTTGTTGGAAGTGTCTGCAGTGTAAGTCAGTACCACCGAACTAAATTATTTGGCACAAGTGTTTAAAAAAGACCTTTTAAATCACTGATCTCATCTATAAAAAACCTGCTCCCCAGGCAAGGTGGGATCTCCTTAGTCCATGCTCCCCTTGAAAATCCAAAGCACTGGATTTTCCACTACGTTTATCTGGAGACCATTTCCCAAGGTAATTCACATTCCAATACACATGCTGAACTTATTTTCTTGCTGCTTATTCTGTATTTACCCTGGAATAGTTTGATTTCTCCTAGACCTCTAAATTCAGCATTATTTTAATTCTTGAAGTTTCTTTTCACTTTTTTTAATTTGTCTTTTAGCCTAAAATCTGCAACTGTTTAATTCTTTCTTCCTAAACCCATCATTCTATTTGTAGGTTTCTCCTCAGAGTTCCTGAAAGAATCTCTCTCTTGTGATACTGTGGGAAGATGTATATCAGGCAAAAAGGCATCTTAACTTTCTGCTATTTATGATTTAATTTAGGGTTTAGATGAGCTTTGAGAAAACATATTATACTGACATAAAATGATAGAATGGTTTGGGTTGGAAGAGACCTTAAAGACCATTTAGTTCCAACCCAAGTGCCATGGGCAGAAATACCTTCCACTAGACCAAGTTGCTCAAAGTTCCATCCAGCCTGGCCTTGAACATGATACCCATACTTTTGTGAACTTACTTCTGTTCCCAGTAATATTATATCTATAATATTCTACCTCCTGTGTTTTGTTTTTATTTATTTATTTATATATTTTTTAATTCTGTGAAGAGAAAAACAACTCTGGGTTGTGTTACTCTCTGGGCAGAGGGGGCTTTTTCCAGAGTCTTTCTGGAGCAAAATGTTTGAAATAGTTGAGTGCCATGCTCTGGTTCCACATGCTTTGGGCCTGTCACTTCAATAAATCAAAAACATAATACTCCCCAAACTCTTCACCCTTCAGTTTTCCCATCTGGAGATGCTAATGCTGAGGATATGGTAGAAGTCAGGGCCATAAGGGTAGTAAGGCACTGGAACAGGTTGCCCAGGGAGGTTGTGAAAGTCCCCTCCCTGGAAGTGTTGAAGGTCAGGTTGGATGAGGCTTGTGCAGCCTGGTCTAGTGGGAGGTGTCCCTGCTATAGCAGGGAGGTTGGAACATGATGATCTTTAAGGTCCCTTCCAACCTTAACCATTCCATGGTTCTGTGATTCTATTTGAGATTTTTGATTGCAGGTTATTACCTACTTTTTTTACCAGATCTGTTGGCAGTTGTAACCAGAACGTGTGCACTTCACAAAAGGTACTTCTGCTCCAATGTTCTGTTTTTATTTTTATAGAAGGTTGAGCAATTGAACGAAAGCTTTCCAGGTCTCTGCAGGAATACATGTAATTTGTCCATCATTTCTGGATTTCTAGTGGTATTCTCAATGGGTGGAAGTACTTTTTCCATTTCTCCTCTCAGTTCTAGACATCTTACATAGATTCTGTGTCGACAGGTGTTGATGGGCAAGCAATTTACAGTAATCTCTTATGATGTTTATTCTGTAGCTCCCTGAATTGTAAGTGACATGCTGGAAAACAACTGATCACCAGCTACTGGCATGGTGTTAAACATGGCTTCTGAGGCTGCTCAGAATTTCCTTCAGCCACTGTCTTCTTGGATGTCTCAAATATATGAAGCTATCCAACAAGCTGGAGATTCTATATCTGCTTCCCTGCTGAATTTGAGTGGAGTGGGTCGTAAGTCAGAAGAAGAAGAGAGGAACCAGGATGTGGAGAATAATGGAGGCGTTTATGAGGACTATTCTGAGGAATCAGATGGTGAACAAAACTTGGATCTCTGGGATGAGGAATACTTCTATCCAAGGGAAGATGGTCACATTGAGGGTCCTGATCTTGCTTCAGAAGACCTCCCTCATGGCTCTGACATGGGTCCACAGAGGCAAAAACTGGTTAAAAATACCAGCAGCTTACCAGAGCAGTGTGTTGAAAGCACCAGGTCTTTGACAGCCAATGGATTCTACTGGACAAATGAAGATCTCCAGCTGTTTGAGCGGCTTCCTCCCATAGCTGAGGAAGAAGGTGAGCCCTCTGTGAGGATAGGAGGTCATAAGCACAACCTCAGCTTGGGTGGCTCCTTAAAAAATAATATTGGCAAGGCAAGTTTTGCAGGTAAGCAGCTAGCATGCACCCTGACAGTGTTATCCAGACTTCTCTTTCCTGGTATTGATTTGATTGAGTTGCTAATCTCCTCATTACGTTCTGTGTTGTCTTTGTTTCCCACAGCTAAAATAAAACTCCCCCACTCCCAAAAAGCTAACCTTTCCTCTTCTGTTTCCAATTTTTCTCTCGTTTGTGAGACTAACCTAATTCAAATAAGTGGAAATGTCCAGGGTGAAATGCTGTGTATTACAAGGCAATTCAGCTGCAGCAAGGAGTATTTTATTCCTCCCCCCCCGCCCCCCGTTTTGTTCCTGGTAGCAGGACCCTTCAAAGGGAAAGTTTAGCCTTAAGCCTTTGCTGTGAAAACCATCTGCCTTTGCGTCATTGCTATTAAAGATATATATATAATCTCAAACCTTGTTTCTTTGTGCCAGGAATCTCAAGATGTTACTGTGCCATGTGCTGTGAAATGCTGTACTAAAAAGCCAGCCGTAGCTCATGATTTTATGGATTAAAGGCTCCCATATCACTTTCCTCCCCTCCCACCACCCCCACAGGCTTTTCAAATAAGACTGAAGAGGACAGCAGGCAGGAGATTAGGGGAAGAAGAACTGAATTTGCTATTTTCAGTTTTAAATAGGCCTGACTATGACTTCTGATCGTTAAGGGACATGAACAGCTTTTTCAGTCAATTGTGTTCAGGACAGAATTTCAGCCACGTAACTTGTACTCGCTAAATATCACCGTAGGTGTGGCTGGAAGTTACCTGGGTCACAGAGAACTGGTAGAGACACATGAACCAACCACAAGCGGGAAAGCTGCAGTCCTGATGACACCCTCCTGGGGTCTTGCTGAGTTAAATCTACTCTTTATGGACATACTAAGAAGGGGAATAAGGGAGGAAAGGGAGAAGGGAGTGGTTCTGCAGTATTGAGCTGGTGAAGAACTTGAGACTCACTGAGGGGTCTTCAGAATTTGGCTTTAAATATCTAAATGCCTTTTATTGAATCAACCAGTAGATGCTCTTTGAAAATGTTTGTTTTATAATGACTTTTCATCACTCCTTCTTCTAGGGAAGTCTTCCATGTTTAGCTGTTTCTGTGCAGACTGTGGAAGATCAGCCTGTTTGTTTTCATATTTAATAGGAATATCAGACTGAGAGGGTATAAACCCTGGTGGTGTTCTTTAATGAATGTTAAAATTAGCTCTTTTCTTTATTACTATTCCTCACACTCTCATGGCCAGCAAGTAAATAATTTAAAAGAGCTTTTGGTCTAACTGTTTTGTTTCCCAAACTGGGACTGCTTGTTTCATGTTCCAGGTGAATGCTTGCCAATTCTCAGGTTAAGCACCCTAGAGCTGCATCTCTTGAAGCCCAACCTCTAACCTGTACAGATCCTTTACTTTCTGGTACCCCTGTAGATTGCTTGTTTGATATCCTGCCCACAGGGTTTGTCTGTAGGCACCAAGTTGATGCAGCAGGGCAAGATTTACTGTGTGTACCTGGATTGTGTCCAGTGTGTGCACAGACACCACTGAGCAGGGCAGGTAGTGTCTTTCCAGGGAGTCCTGGGGCCATGGATCCTCCCAGAAAAGTGCTATCCAGGGTGTAGCCTTGTCTCCAGCAGAGCCTGTGCACTCAAAAGGGCTGCTAGAGTGATTCATGGCAGATCCTGGGGCTCCTCAGTGTAGGCTGAGGAGCAGCCATGTGCGTTATTCCAATGGTGGCCTACAGATCTTTGTCCTTTCTCTGGACTACACCCTTGTTCACAGTGGATGGGAGAAAAGCTGGTGAGATCTTAGAGAAATGGGGTCCAGGAATAGGCTACTGCCACTGTTGGAGCTGCTTCTCACCTGCAGTTTTATCTGCAGGGACATCTGAGGGGATGCATCCTTAAGAGCATGTGATGGACCAGATGAATTTCCTGGTGAGAGACACATCGACTGACAGATGCTAGAGTAACCCATCACTGCAGCTAAAGGAGAGGGCCACTCTGAACCTCTGTCCCAGCTGACAGCAGGTGCTGATTGAGTTGCTGTTGGACTTACTCTTACCATTTATTTGCTTACCTTCTCAGTAAGCTGTCTGAAGCCATTGTGGGCCTTGAAGAGCTCCACAACACCTACATTGCTGCTGCCTGGAGCTTCTTCCACACAAAGAGTTTAGAGGGCATCACACAGCTTTTTACACCTGAGGGAATGTCACTCCAAATACTCTCAAACAGTCTTTTATCTCTTTATCTCTGCAATGAGCTGCACAAATGGTCATCCAATGGTCTCAAGTCTTCATGACTATAAAGTTGGCTGTTTGAGAGTTGGAGAGCTGGGAGCTGATGTCTTTTTTCTCAGAACTATTTAAGTTGTATAACAGGAGAGAAAGTGTTGAACTGTGATTTGAAAATGTCTTCCACAAGATATTTTGATGTGGAAGAACTACTTTTGCTCTTCTGAGTGACCCTTCACTTCCAAAACACACACATGCTCTTTGTATTTCATTCATCAACTATTTATTTTCTCTTTTTCCTTTAGATTCATGCTCTAATATCCAGAGTATGAACTTTGCTGATTGGTAACTGAGACATGCAGAGAGGTTGTAATAATCTGGCAACTTAAAATCTTAGTGATGCATTAAAATGATCAAGAGAAGACGAGTGAGTTATCTTTATTTCTGTTAGTTTTGTTATCTAACCCTAAGTGACAATGTAAGTGAGCATATGGACTTGCTGACATTCAGCAAAGGCATTCAGTAGCACCAATATTAGCTCTGAACATTTTTCCTTCCATTTGGCATTTCCCCCCCTCATTTCTGCAAACTACATGTTTCCTGTTTATCCTTATATTCTTTTCAGAACATTGCATCTTGACTTTATTTCACTTAATGTACCGTATTTCTCTCCACAATAGAATATTTTAAAGCTAAATTGGCACAAAACTGTGGCAATGCTGAATGCTTTTTGTTGCCATGGAAATATTTCTGGGCACTTACTGAAGACCTGGTTGCCAATAGTAATGTAACAGAGAAAATAGATATGCTTCATTTAGCAGCCACGGGTGATTAAATAGCCACAAAAACCCATTGCAAGGTCATTCCAATGTATAGTTTATTTGGTTCTGGGGGGAGGGGAAGCCCACCAACCCTAGGTGAAAAGAATTTTCTTTTAAAAAAGATGGAAACCAAAATCCAAGAGTTGCTCCCCTCTCTTAAACTTAGAGCATGCTTCTGAGACAAAATGAAATCAAGTTCCAGTTAAAAACCATCATTCCCCCTTTTCCTTTTTATCAAATGTTTTTGATCACATTTTTACCTCATTGGAAATGTTTTCTAGCTCCCAGAGTAGCTTTTCTGAGGCCCCAAAGCAGCATATGTATTATTGAAAACCATTTTTGGGCTTAGAGATCTAATGATGTTTGAGCAATGAAACTCTTGGGTTCTTAAATCAAATGTCTGTTAGATGCTCTGAGGCATCCTAATCAGCAGGGTGCAGGTTTGGCTGCTGCTGAGTGCTGGCCTGTACTGAAATGATGTTAGTAATGTTGTGCCAAGGTCTCAAATATATGCAGGGAAAAGTTTTTCACTTGGGTTGCTTTTGATCCACAGTTTATAAATGAGGAGGTAGTTTGGCAGGAAATATTGAGAAGCAGGGTGTTTGGTTTCAGAGGCTAATGATGGGAAGGCAGACCCTTCCATGCATGCAGATCCCTGCCACCTTCTGCACATCCTGTAATTGTACATTTTGCAAAGACATGAACTTGCTCTTGTTGCTTCCTTGAGGGCCTCCTGCATCTTCTAACCTCAGTGTTTCTGATAGAGAAACTGTCTCCCATTGCAGAATGGGGAGAGAGCAGCCTTTGCACACACCCCCCAGCCCCCACGGCTGAGATGTTGCTGATCAGCTGACTGGGGGTGGCTGGTGAGAGTGTGGCTGCCAAATCCATCCTTAAACATTTGGCTTAAGAACTGAAAAAAAAATATAAAAAAATCAGTAGAACAAGCAGCCACTTCTAAAAGTAGTGCACTGCAAGTAGAGGGGTAGAGCTGGCCAGTCCATCTGCTTCCCAGCCTGAATCTAAAAGGAAAGAAAGTAAGGATGAAAAAGGTCAAGAGCAGCAATAATTGTGCCATGGATGCAATGGCTTTACCCCAGTTCTTCCTCGAGGCCCATGTCCTTTTTAAACAAATAGTCAGAATGACCATTAAGTGGCAGTTGCAACAGATGCTGCTCTGAAAAGGCACGGGGACAGACAGAGCAGCAGAGCCAAGTGATATGAATCAGAGCTGAACTATTTTTGCACCATGACTTCTGTGATTGAAGAGTCTCCCAAGCTGTCTGACACTGTGTTGATAACACTAGTGTAATTTATAGGTGAGCACTACACTTTAGCTGCACCATGTCTGTGGAGATTTTTCCCCATCAATTAGATCATTTCAGCACTGGCTAAAGATTGCACTTCAGTAGCACTGAAATAAATTTTTTGACCTTGGAATACTCAGAAGTTTGAGGTCCTAATAGGAATCTTGTCTAGATGCTTAGATAGTTATCCTCAGTACATGTGTAAGGGGAAGCATGACTCTGAGACTCTGGGAGGTTTTAAAACTAGAAAGCAGAATTGCATTTACTTACCTTGGCCTCCAGCTTAACAGAGGTCATCGATTTTTGCCAGTAATTGCTGTGGTAGAGGAAATTATTCTTTCTGCTATATATGAGCACTCCTGACCTCAGTAAAATGACCCTGCATATGGCCAGGAATTCCTAGGTAAGAAGTCAGTTTTCCTCACTATAAACCTATATAGCAAAATATACCTGTGAAAAACCCGTTGTTGGTTGTGTGATAAATAAAACTTCTGCTTGAACTTTAGACTAAAATAGATAGATGGCCAATTTCCATGTAAAGATCCAAAGTGCTGACAAATTTTACTACCTGTCTGGCTGTGGAGCCAGCCAGTGCTCTTGCCAGAATGTAGCCCTATAAAATCTGCCTGTACTCAAAGCAGGATGTTTAAAGAGGCT